TATGCACTTCATGAAAGGAGTGACCTGTATGTTCGCCTAAAATCTTGGCTCTTTGCTCGTCTTGCTCTCTCTGGTCTAGACTGTGGGCCCCCCTCCGTCCGCTTTTCATCCACACACCCCAGCAAGAGTACAAGACCCCCTTCCCATCCCTCCACCACCACTGCCTGGCCTTTGACTTTTCTTCCCCTCTCGATGCGCACGCCGTCCCTCTTCCTCTGCGACCTGCTCTCTCTCCGCGATCATGTTTCGCAACCGGTACGTGCAGTCTGTCCATGTTCGTCGCCAACCTGCCCTTCCATCTGCAATGTGCATGTCACTAGCTCGACTACGCTGGCAGCGCGCGCGTCGCGTTTTTGCCCTTGCTCATCCACCACCCATCGTCACAACCACCATCCACGACGCTGACCGCTTCCTGCGAACAAAACATTAGAACAAATACGAAAAAACCAGCTGGGCTCGAGGAATTCAAGGCCTCGTTCCCGCATCTTGGACAGCGCTCGCATTCGGTTGCGGGCCCGCCAGGCCATAGCCTCGCAGACGCTCTTGATGTTGCCCACCCTTCTCGGTAAGTCAGAAATGCCATGTCTGCGAAAAAGTCCCATGTGTCCATGTCCATGTCCATGCCCATCATTTGCGCGCGCGGACTCATTGTCCCTTCCGTGCGCCCCGCTCCGCCAACACCAATCATCTTCGCCGCCTCTTCACCCCCTCCCTCTCTCCCTTCTCTCCGTCTCCCCCCTTTCTGCATGCGCCAACCTCCCCGCGCTGACAAGACCGATTGCGCGCAGAAATCTCAACGACCACGAGGACATCAAAGATCAGGACCCAACCCCGCGCGGAAGCAACGAACCCTGGAGGTTTACCCCCTCGCTGCTCGACCCCAACAGCTTCGCCTTCACCTCGTTCGCCAATCAGCCTCCGGGCTATTACACGCCAACCCCCGGCGGCACCAACACCCTCTATCACAGCCAGGCCGGCGACCTGCACACGCCAGGCTTCAGCTTCGGATTGGGCACTCCCTTGTCTCTCCCCACTTCAGAGGGTGCCCTGCACGCAGGCCAGACGGTGCCCAGCCAACTCCACCATGGCTTCACTCCGCACGCCTTGGGCGCCCACCACTTCCAAAATGTCAACCCGTTTGCCATGCAGTCGCAACATTCTCAGTCCTTTGCGCCGCATCAATTCACCCACCAGCCTTCCGCCTTCGACCATGGGGTCATGGCGCAGTCTCACGACGAGCCGTCCATGGACAACAACATGGTGCCAGAGATGGAGATGCAGGAACAATCGCCGTTGATTGGATATGCGCCCCAAGCCTACGGCAGTAACATGGCTGCTCCGACAGCTACCCATCTGCCTTCGGCACCCACGCAAAAGTAGGTCGAGTGTTGCATCTGGCCCATGTGCATGGCTTTTTGTATCCTCGGTACTAACCGCGCCCAGCTTCCGATACCATGTCACTCTAAATGCGCCAACGGCTATGATTAAGCAATCAGACGAGGTGCCCGTCACCTATCTCAACAAGGGACAGGCCTACTCCATCTCACTCGTGGATACAGCGCCCCTCCAAGCTCCGTCCCTGTCACTCAGATACAGGACTTTTATTCGCATTTCCTTTGAAGACGAACAACAAAGGCAGCGCCCTGCCGGCTGTTGGCAACTCTGGAAGGAAGGCCGAGGAACGAATGAAGCGCATCAGCGAGGCGGTCGTCTTCAAGCCGTCGAATTCGTCGACCCAAGCCAAGTAGGCGGCGGAGAGGCTCAACAAGGGCGGCCCAGGGTCGAGCTCGAGTCCTCCTCATTCGACGGGTTTGTCGTCAACTGGACACCAGCACACGCCACCGCACCCGAGTGCTCCCTTGCCGTACGATTCAACTTCTTATCCACCGACTTTAGCCACTCCAAGGGGGTAAAGGGGATTCCCGTTCGGTTATGCGCAAAAACAGAGCTGATGACCGAGGCCGCTGCACCCCCGCAAGACACATCAGGCCCCGAGCTTTGCTACTGCAAAGTGAAGCTCTTTCGCGATCACGGAGCAGAGCGCAAACTTTCCAATGATGTCGCCCACGTCAAGAAGACCATTGACAAGATGAAGCAACAAATTGCACAAGCAGAGTCGGGCATGAAAGACTTTGGCAAACGTAAACGCAGTGGCTCCATATCGAAGAGCAGTGCTAATGGCCGACCCGGAAAGGTCGCCAAACACAAGAGGACCTGGTCCTTGTCCTCGGCCAGTTCGAATACTGGAGCCAGGCCTGCGGCGGAAGAGGATTTGCACATCAAATTAGCAGCGCTACAGGACATGTTTAGCTCCACGAGACCTGTCAGCGTCCTGTATCTCAAGGGCGATGAACAGGATGATCCGGACCTGCATCCAGTACAATTGTCCTCTGCTCCGTCGGATCTTTCCAAGATGGAGACGACGGTGGACGCACAAATGTGGGAGGCCACAGGGTCACAGACTGCCGCGTCCTCTGCTGTATCACCAACACCGAGCTCACAATCCATTACCTCTGAAAAGCGTCGAACATCCTTCCAGCGGCCACAACCTTTCCAGCCACCATCGCGCATGCCATCAAACGAATGGCGGAACGTTCCCCAGACGGCTACCGGTGATTTGAAGGCTATGACTGCTATCCAGGGCGGCGCTGATGTCCCCACCAAGGTCCAACGACCCTACGCAGATGATCATGCTTTATCCGGATGGATCGAGGCTCTTGGGGTGGACCAGACTTATCAACCACCACCCGAGCCTATGCTCAAGCCAGGTACGTGCTTTTAATCAAACAAGAAAAAATCAAAAAAATCTTGCCCCCCTTCCAAATTTCTGTCTATGAATTATCTACTGACAGCTTTTTGCAGTGGCTTGTTTCTTTGTGCAACCCAGAATCGCCGGTCGACAATCCGATGACAACTATTATCGCGCCATCTACCTCATGGAACGCACCGTGAAAGAACTCGTCAGCAGCATTGCTGTGAAAGCCAAGGTTGAGCCCACCAAGGTAACTCGGACGATACGGATCAACCAAAAAGGATTGCAGATTCTAATGGACGATGAAGCGATTAACCGGATCCCAGAACAACAAGACATGACAGCCGAGTTCCATGAAATTGGAACCCCCCCAACACAATCCATGAAGCGAGAATGGGACGCTGGACCTACTGATGTCCAAGTTGATGGCGAGATCAATGTGATTGAGAACATCCACTCGTCAGGCTACGAACTACGCCTCCTGTTCTAGACGCCAACTTTATCGCTCTCTCTTCCTCCCTCCCCCGGCGACCCCGAACCCGTGATTACCGGATACTTGTCGTGCAAGGG